TATAGCCTAGAGCATCTGTTTAAAATACAGCTTGCTAGTAGCTTATTGTATAGCCTAGAGCATCTGTTTAAAATACAGCTTGCTAGTAGCTTATTCCCTACCACCTTGTTAAACAGCTCTCCTCCTTCCATCAGTAACCAAACATTATATTAATAATAATGTTCCGCATCAAAAAAGGTTTAAATCTTGATGGTGCAAGGGTGATACAGTTGTTTCATAACATCTATTTCTTTTCTTGTTTTTATTAAATCATATTTGTGCACATTAATACTATCATGGGATACAATGTGTTTTTTCCATATACAATTTGAAATACTTTCATCCAATTGGCCAACATGGCCATCATGTCATTCTCATAATTGTTGTGTTAAGACAAATATTTATATTCGACATTTAGAAAGATTCAAATGTACCCTTATAGGATAAATCATAGGCATAGTCCCAGCAATCACCCTCCCTTCACCCATCCTCCCCCCTCCCCTCCCTTTCCCCTTTTCCCCATATTCTTGGACTACAATTGGATTATAGCTTTCCTATGATAGTTAACAATTAGTTTCATAATAGGGTTGAGTACATTGGATACTTTTTCTTCTATTCTTGAAATACTATGCAGCCATAAAGAAAGATAGACACTTTACCTCCTTCATGTTTACATGGATGGAGCTGGAAAATATTCTTTTTTTTCTTTTTTTTTTTTTTTTTTTGAGACAGAGTCTCACTATGCTGCCCTCAGTAGAGTGCCATGGCATCACAGCTCACGGCAACCTCCAACTCCTGGGCTTAGGTGATTCTCTTGCCTGAGCCTCCCAAGGAGCTGGGACTACAAACGCCCACCACAAAGCCTGGCTATTTTTTGTTGCTGTTTGGGCGGGGCTGGGTTTGAACCTGCCACCCTCGGTATATGGGGCCGGCACCCTACTCACTAAGCCACAGGCACTGCCATAACATTTATTTCTGTTTCACCATTGGGAGGTGGCTCTGCCCCTCCTGCAAGCTGATAGTAAACTTCCAGTCACTGATGATTTTATGGCTACTTTCTTAACATGTTTTCCTCTCAAAAGCCAGCTTTACCTCTCCACAAGTACCACTGCCAAGAATTTTTACACGATGTATTTGTCTCTTAATTCCTATACAGTTAGATTTTAAAAAATACAAAATCTTTATTTCTGTATAATGAAAACAAAATTTCAAAGTTCTTTTTCAAAGGATGATGTTTGTGGATCTCTGTGTTTACAAAGATTCCATTCCCACTGTGATCTTCTATGTATGCCATGTTGAGTTTTTAGGACTCCTTTTCCTAAACATCCAAGTGTTTCTTGTTATATGTCTGGTATTTATCTATTTATCTGTTCTTTCCAGGAGAGGTTCATGAAAGCAATATTGATGGCTTTCATCCCTCCCATAATCAAGATTGGAAAATCCATACTGAAGGGCCCATAATTTACCCACAAGGGGCAGGAACAGGTGCCTCATGTAAGAATCTCCAGAATAGAACATGGAGCTTGAGTGGACACTCTCTAAGGACCTCAGTGTCCCAGAACCGGAGTGAGAAGACTGGGTTATGGTGGGCACCATGCTAGTGGAGTTGCTGTGGGACTGTGAGAAATAACCTTTGAACTGGGAAAAAGCTGCCTTGGGGTGTGGGGAACCAATGCCTGACCCTTAACATCAGTCTCTCGAGAAACCAAGACTCATGGAAATTCACAGAACAACTTCCTACATAGGTCGGTGTATTTCCAGTTCCTATAGTGCCTAGATCCTAAGATCAGGTCTCTGTAAGTATTTTAGAGACTGAATCTAAGGGATGCAATACTTACTAACACTTTTAGAACTCTTTAAAAGTAACTTCTCTCTGATAGTGAAGAGCACAACTTTGTTCTTTCTTATCTCGTATGTCCAGCTTATTTCAGTTGGCAAGCAACAGGGGAAGAGAACTTCACCTTGAAGATTAGGAAGGGAATTGTATACATGTTCCCCTCTCCAGCTTAAAAATACAAAATGAAGTTCAGGAAATTCTGCTCACAGAAGACACTGAGGATGGAATTTGAACCACCAAATGCCCAAGAGAAGCTCCCCCTATGAAATCCTGTGATCCTATCTAAAGCCACCCCTACCTTGTTATCTTTTTATGTGAATTGGCTCTTGCTGGCCCTTTTCTATTTTATATACACTTTGAATCAGCTGGGATAGTTTTTCAAAAGTCTGTGTGGAATATAAATGCTCTATATCAGGTTAAGGACTTTATATTTCATTAAGATACTTTTTTTTAAAATGAGTTTTGAATCACATTGCTCACTTTTCCTGTAATTATTGAGATGTACTTATATGATTATACTTTCATCAACTACGTGCTAATTGTATAGATTTTTTAAAATTTTAAACTAGCCTAGAATTGCTGAAAAAGTTCAA